TTATGGACAAGGAAATGGAAACCTAGAAAGGTATAGGAACTTCTTAAGGTAACACAGAGAGAAAATGTATCACTGTGATGAGACAGTTAAGTGAACATACTGCTAGTAGGACTGAGAGATAAAGGATGTCTTTCCCTGGAACGACAAGGTCCTGAAACAAGGCATGGGAAAGGGAAGGTGGCTGTGTCTGAATGCATCAGTTTGGCTAGGAGGGCCTGAGGTGGGTCGGGGTAACAGGGACCAAATCAACCAAGTGTTGTTCCTACAAGGGTGATGTGTGATGATGATGATGTAGGTAGGTGAGTCAGCATCTCACACACAGTGGTGAACAGGAGGTTTTGGACTTTGACTGCATGTGAAAGTACGTTGAGGGGAGGACTAATGATGGTAAGGAATGCAGGTGAAGTTTCTTTACCGCCAAGTCCTATTCCAGTAAGTCCTATCATTTTCACCTGAATTTCTAGGTTTGTTTGTCAACTTATGCCCGATGGTTAGGGACCGGATCCATTGGAGACTGGCACCATCACAGCGTAGGGTCCTCCAAGCACTATCCTGAAGTGAAAGAGGGAGGGAGGAGACTTGTACTTGGGTTGTCAGCAGTGGGGATAGCGATATCCATTTTTCAACTTGACATGGTCACATGCCCCTTACACTACTTACATTTGGCTGGACCAGATTCATCTCAGGAGTACAGAAAAGCTTTGGCATCACCAGAAAATCAGATCTCAGCTCAGGTTTTGGACATATCCAGATCTGCTGGAGTAAGAGGAGAGGTTCTAAACTCCATGCTGGAAGAAATAAAACAGGGTACTGCTCACCATTGTCCCATATCAGAGAGAAGCTCACAAATATAGTTATAATACAAGTTACCTAGTTTTACTTCTTAATTTATACTTAATTTATATTTTAAAAAATATCCGAAAATAAAGAAATGCTCACTTGCTCCTCTCCATGCATTTACTAGCCATCTTCATCAGTTAAGAACATATGATTCACTGTGGATTTTTTTCTCATTCTAAGTAAAATTGCTAAGTACAAGGGCCAATTGTTTATCTAATTTTCTAGATATTGCTAACTGCATCTCTATGATTTGCTGCAATTTTTATTTTATAGGAGTACCTTGTAGTCTTGTCAAAGGCTATGGTTGAGGGCTATGGGTACCTAGTGGTGGGTGTGATGTGGTAGTCTGAAGGCTGTGACCCTATACTTCTGAATTATACAAAATATTGAAATCAACATTGCCTCAATTAAAAACTATGAAAAAGAAAGTACATTGAAAGTTTCAATTTTTACAAATACGATATGTGAAAGATGATATTTTAGTGTAGTTCTGCTTTTAAAATATGGATTCTTCAGATTAAAAACAAATGTGATAGCAAGTTACCAGTGAAATGTAGCCCTTGAAGAGGCAAATAAAAATGATCTCTATTGATCAAAATAAGATCAAAATTAAATAAATAACTGTAAAATCATCAGAGATTATATAAAGTGGCCATAAATTCATAGTTGAGGAGAAATTAAACAAAAAGCATTATTTAAAGGCATAAGACAAGAGAGTCATCTGGATAAACTTGTTAATTACATAAGAAAGAATAAGTTGTCAACCTTGCTTGACAATTCAAATTGATGTACATGTACAATGTCTTTTAGAAATATTTATTTTATGGAGATAACTTTGGTTTACAGCACAATATACTTTAGGGGTGTTTGTAGGCTCATGCTTCTTCAAATTTATATCACCACATTGGTGATTTGGTGGTATGCATTGCCTTCAAAGCCTACAAAAAAGAGATAATACTAGCATACAAAGTACCTCTCCTAATACTCCAACTTGTTTCATGACTCTGTCTCACTTTCAAAATTGGATGTGGATAGTAATTTCACATCCAATAAATCCTATAAATCTATATGCACAATTTCTTCATAAAATTAGCATATAAAATCTAGTTTATTATATTCTCACAATACACCATATTTAAATGGAATTCATACTAAGAATGCAAATATACTTACAATAGATGCACTATTAAAGGTATTTAGTATCTAAGAGTGAAAAAAAATCATTGCACATTCTCACTCTGGGGGATCAAATGTTTTCTGCTGAGTTTTTCCAGTTTCAAAAGCAGGGGATATAAACAATGACTCGTCACTCTTTTATGAAGTAGTTCAGAAACCTGTACAAGTCGGAATTGCCCTAAATTTATCAGAAACATGGTACATGCAATTGGTAGTACGGAAGACACAAGAGAAATGCCTTGGGAGCTGAAAGTGGTTTTGCTGTCTGGACTTCAGCCATGTTCCCTATCCAACAAGCCAAACAATGTGTAATGACAAAAACTGTCAAGGGACTGTCCTCCCATAGTCCCAGTCCAATCCCTACTCCAGAATGAAAGGGAAAAATGATAAAATGGGAAGAGTGAATTAAAAAGCTGAGAAGAGATTTGCCTACGTCAACATTTATTATAGTTATGATATCTTAGTTGAAAAAGTACACTAATGCAGTTTTTTTTCCTAGGAGGATTTTACTAGAAAGAAGCCAAAACGTGTATCAATTTTCTTGAACTCTGCAGATAATTGAATCAGGTGTGTTAATTTTATATTAACCATTCTCTACATTCATTTGCTTGTGATTTTCTCTTTGGAAACTGTTAATTAAAGTGAACTTTAATTAGAGAAAGAAGCTTGAAGCAATAGCATTTGGTATTCGGACTTAGCCTTTTGTTCAAAACCTTTTGCCTCAGCCATAAAATATGTACATCCCTGTTAGTCTGGTGTATAAAATTTGATTTAAGGTATGATAGGAGGTGATTCTCTTTGTATTCTTCTGAAGTATAGAGGGAAGGAGGCACTACAAAAGCAAACTAATAAATACTTTATATTTATTGCAATAATAAATAAAATTTAGGTGAAATGACACCCAATAGAGTGATACAGTGCCACTCTCTGTGAAAATTTCTGGCATTGTTTTCTTCCCCCTTTTCCACACCTATTAATTTCTTACTTGTGCTCACTAAAGTTTTCACAGTGGCTGACCAAATTAAAAGACATATTTAAGAATGGGTTTACTCCCTGTGTTTTCCTAAACTCATACTTTTCATTTTGGATACAAATTCCCTTTCCTACAATAGAATACTACAGAGACATGCCCCTTTACAACAAGTGTTGATTATTGATTTAGTATTTTTAGAATGGCTCCATGTTACTTATTTTCTCATAGTTGCATGGTTTATTCACTTCATTATTTTAACTCTGATTTTTTTTTTTGGAGAATTGCTATAAATTATAACAGTAGCCCATTTAGCAAATATTACCAGGGGCTAGAATTTTCTCTACTACTAAATTTTAAGCTACAATATTAAACACAAAGCATTTACCATTTTGGAAAACAAAATATATATCACCTCCTCACTTTTATTTTTTTTAACTAGAAAGGGTGATTATTATCAAGTTCATTTATGGTACATTAAATAGTACTTAAGAGAATTTTATTAACTATCTACAACAATGCCTCATTTTATAATCCAGGTTATTAGATTTGTTGCATACTATTAAACAATACCTTTTATATTCCATTAATAGCTCTACTATCAAAGTTTGTGGATAGAGTTTTGGAGAACTGGGATGGAGTTCTGGATTAATTACTTGAGGATTGTAAAATATTGAACATATTGGTTATGTTCTAATAGCTCACGTATAAAATCATAGTTAAAGGTCTCGCAGAGACCTATCTGTGCCTCAATTTCCTTTTATTAAAATGAAACAAAACTTTCTTTTTCACTAGGATATTCATACATTACATATAAAAACTTTCAAATTGACTGACATCACTCTTTTTCAGTGTTTTTTTTTTTTTTTTTTTTTTTTTTTAGAGACCGATAGTTAGCATTTCATGACATGGAAAATGAAAAGTGATAGTTTTTTTCTTAAACAAATAACCACCTTCCTTTCAAGTAAGAGATTGTGCTTCAAACACAATTGATTAAAAATTAATTCTCAAATCATTGCCTACCTCCTTTGACGTTTTTCTGCAGCCTTTCAAGGAAATTGCAAAAGAGACAGGTAGCACTATTTTACAGTCCATTGGCAAATTTATCGTTATCTGAATTGTGTATTATCTTTAATATTATTGCTTACGATCTATTATTATTTGTGACCTAAATTTTTGCCTAATGAGAAAAGATTGTGTTGCTGGGTATTTTTCAAAGAACGTACCTTATTAGGTAAAAGAAATCCTAGTCAAAGCCTACAAATTCTAATTACTTCTTTTGGCAGCTTTCTTCATTGATAAATTGAAATGTTACAATTGACCTGCTTTTCAAATACTTTAAGTCAATCAGACCTTGGCATTTCATAGCCATTATCATTTTATTATAAATGTTGACATTCTGTACTCACATATTGGTCATGCCAGTTTACTTACTTAAGGTACTTGATTTCAAATCAAAGAGCTACCATTATTTTAGAGACAACATGGATTTCAGTGGTGTGGTGTAGAGGGTAAGTAATAAAGACAGAGGGAAGGTGAGAGAGATCATTGTTAAAAAGCATAGGGAAAAGGTTTTTTTTTCCTTAGAAATGTGGCCTCTTGAGAATTCTTTAAGAACTAAAGCTGTTTGTGGATAATTCCAAGGGGATAATGAAAATCAGCAGGAAATAGAAGATAGTACCTAGATCTGGTTGCCTTAGCATTTTCTTTTAATTGTAGTTTTTGCAGTGTACATGTGTTATTATTTAACATCTTATTTAACTCGCAGTTGAATAAAATTGAGTTGTGGATTCACATTTGCACCTCACAGTTATCTTTACTAGTAAGGGTAGTTGAGAACACAATCTGTATGTCAAAATTACAGCGAAAACATTTCCTAAAAAGGATACTTTCCAGAGAATTTCAAGTTAATGTTGAGAAAAACTTTTCAAGATTGGGTCTACTCTTTTTTGTTTTTGATTGTAACTTATATGAATATTCTTCCCTGTAGGTATTTCTCTCATAGCTTGAGACCATGGACCAAGGAAATTATTCTAGAGTGACTGAGTTTGTGTTGCTGGGACTATCCAGTTCCTGGGAGCTCCAGTATTTCTTCTTTGTGTTGTTTAACTTCTTATACATCACCATTGTGCTGGGCAACCTCCTTATTGTCCTCACAGTGATTTCTGAACCTTCCCTGCACACACCCATGTACATCATGCTCAGTAACCTTTCTGTTCTTGATGTGTTTCTTGCCACATACGCAACCCCTAAGATGATCCATGACTTCCTTAATGAATCTAAGACCATCTCGTTTGAGGGTTGCATGGCCCAGATATTCTTGCTCCATGTCTTTGCTGGTGGGGAGATGGTGCTCCTTGTAGCCATGGCCTATGACAGGTATGTAGCCATTTGCAAACCCCTCCACTATACAACCATCATGAACCCATGCAAGTGTACAGGCCTGGTGGTAGGCTCGTGGGTCATTGGAGTCTTGCATTCCTTGAGTCAGTTAGCTTTCACTGTAAACTTGCCCTTCTGTGGCCCAAACATAGTTGATAGTTACTATTGTGACCTGACTCTGGTCATCAAACTGGCCTGCACAGACACATATGTCCCTGAAGTGTTGATGCTTTTGGACAGTGGTCTCATGGGGGTCACTTCGTTCTTGCTCTTACTGATCTCCTACACGGTCATCCTAGTGACTGTGCGGCGCCACTCCTCAGCGGGCACAGCAAAGGCCCGCAGCACCCTGACTGCCCACATCACTGTGGTGACCCTCTTTTTTGGGCCCTGTATCTTCATCTATGCCTGGCCTTTTGGCAACTTTCCAGTGGATAAAGTTCTTTCTGTGTTCTCTACGGTTTTCACACCTATATTGAACCCTGTTATCTATACGCTGAGAAACAAAGAAGTGAAATCAGCAATGCATAAACTGAAGGCCCGGTATGTCAGTTCCAGGCTGCTTTCCCAGAAGTCTCGCACAAGAGTGGATTTGTTGAATTGACAGGAAGGAATTTGAGGAAACACAGATTTATCTTTTTCTTATGGTCACCACGATTTCAAAAAACTTTCTGTAAACATAAATGAAATGCATGTCTTTTGTTAAATATTTAAGAACTCTCACATAATTATGAATTTTCTGATTATATTTAAACTTGTGGATTTTTTTATATAGATTTATTTATTTGTGTATTCAAGAGCTGGGGTATAGGTCAGAAGTACGGGGAGGTCAAAGGACTCACCAGACATAGTGAGGAACAGAACAGGTAGATCTACTGAAATACACTGTTGAGGGGAGCAGCAGGAAAGACAGGAGAGGTCTGCTGCGCCATGTGGGTCAGCTCCCTGGTTGGGGATCAAACTTATTCTGTGGTAGCTGGTGTCACTTCATAGTGCTGCACTTAACCCCTTGTGCCACCAGGGAGGCCCAACAATATTTAAACTTGCTGTAGTTTTATGGTTTGCAGTTCATGTGGCTATCCTTCCTGTCTAAAACCAGCTATAAGATGTTTCATAAACCATTATGCAATTTAAATTTTAGGAGATTAATTTCACAAAGTTTAAGTGCATATTTAAGATGATAAACATAAAAACATGATGCTTCTTTCATAATCTAAAATACTTCCAGTAATCTATGATTTAGTATCAGTATCAAAACAATTACACCATAAATATTCTTAATTTTTTTCACATATTTTACACTAAGAAGTTTTTGTTAGTCATCAAAAAAACCCACAGATTCATTTGGCATGCACAAAAAAGTTTACAAAAATTCACTTCAATAGTTTTCAAATACACCTTCATTTTTTTTTTTTTTAAAGATTTATTTATTTGTGCATACAGAACTGGGGTACAGGCCAGAGGCTCAGGGGCAGCGAGAGGCTTCACCAGAGACAGAGTGGGGAGCAGAACAGGCAGATCTACATAGTACACTGCTGAGGGGAGCAGCGGGCGGGTCAGGAGAGGTCTGCCACGCCATGTGGTCTCCTCCAGGGCAGGTGGGAATTGAACTCATGAGGAAGCGGCTTCAGATTCTCAGTGCTGTGCTTTAACCCGCTGCGCCACCAGGGAGGGCCCATTTTTTTTTTTTTTAAGATTTATTTATTTGTACATACAGAACTGGGGTACAGGCCAGAGGCTCAGGGGCGGCGAGAGGCTTCACCAGAGACAGAGTGGGGAGCAGAACAGGCAGATCAACGAAGTACACTGCTGAGGGGAGCAGCGGGCGGGCCAGGAGAGGTCTGCTGCGCCATGTGGTCACCTCCGGGGCAGGCGGGAATCGAACTCATGCGGAAGTGGCTTTAGCTTCTCAGTGCAGTGCCTTAGCCCGCTGCGCCACCAGGGAGGGCCTACACCTTCATTTTTACCCTCCTCACTAGAGAAGCCAAACTACTTAAATTTCCTATCTTTATCTTTTACTTTCTGAAAGTTTTTGTATAATTGATATAATTTCTTGAATGTCTTGGCAGAATTCATTAGTGACATCATCTAGGACAGAGTTTCCATCTTTGAAGATATTTTAAAATACAAATTCCATTTCTTCCCTAGATTAAGGACTATGCAAATATCTACCAGTAGTTATTCTTGAGTGAGTTTAGGACTTCGTGTCTTTCTAGGAATAGAAATGTCTTTTAAGTTCTAGTTTATTGACATAAAGTTGTTTACTCTTCACTTATTATCTCTTTCATGTTTACTGGGTCATTTGTTCTTATCATTGATAATTAGTTTCTTCTCCTTTTTTGTTATTGGGGGAGGTAAAGATTTATAAGATTTATTTATGTAGTTCAAAGACCCTTTTGGTTTCATTGATTTTCTGTATAGCTTTCTATTTTTACTTTGATAACTGCTTTTACCTTTATAATTTCTTTCTGTTTGCTTTGAATTTAGTTTGCTTTTTTCTTCTCTAGTTTTTTTTTTTAAATTTAATGTAGTTTAGAAATGTTTCAGTTGGTATTTCATCAATTTGATATATAAATATGAATCTTTTATTATGAAACATAAATAAAAATGTATCTTTTATTATGAATCATTTTTTATTGATATGTTATTCCTACCTGAAAACAAAATAAATTTCATATAATACTCCTCAAGCTTCATGTGTTCAAATTTTTTCTTTGCATTAGTGATATTGGTTTAATTGGAATTTATTTGATAGAGAGTACGGACTTCCATATTTTTCCCCTCCAAATTCTTTAAAGTTTATAAATACTTTGTTCAGATGTTGTTAATCATATGTTGAATGACCTTTCTTTTCACTGATTGTGAGAGCTTATTTTATGTCAAAATAATATCTTCTAGACTTCTAGGTTATTTAATGTGTTCAACCAGTTGATCAGTCTAATTTTAGGCTAATTCTACACTGTTTTAACTATAGTCTCACCATGTTCTTAACACATGATAGTATTGCTTGCTATAATAATTGTATTTCGTCTTAGTAAATTGATCTATGTTCATGTGAGTTTTAGAAATTGTCAATATAACTTGCTAAAATTAGTGTGGCTCAGTTTGGATTATCTGAAACTCTTTCTGAATTTTGACTTAATATTCAGCTTTTTTACCCTAAAATAAGAGAACTTTCTAGTTATTGAAGTATTCTCTACTTTGTGCAAAAAATTTAATCCCTGCAGATTTGTTTTTACCATATGCTTTCTTCTTTTGTTAAATTATTCATAGTCAATTATGTACAATGAACTGAAAGTAATGAGAGTTTAACAGTAATGCAAAATCATTAGTTACTCATTATTTCATTTTACATATATTAATTTTCAAATATATTCAGTGGATGTGTTACTGCACCCAAAGGGGTCAGCCAGTAGAGCAGCCAGTAGACAAGGCAAATTTGACAAGAAATGATAATTTAGTACTTGTAATGAGTAGCAGAGGCAGAGTGTGAGGTCTCCAAAGATTACTGAGCAGGGGCTTCATATAAAGTAATTAAATTAGTAGTCAGAAAAAGACCAGTTGAAAAACTAACCCTTGATAGGTGACTACAGAACTTAAACACCAAGGTGGGAGGGGAGGTAGGAAAAGAACAGGGAGGGAGGGAGGGAGGAATAAAGGGCATGTTGCTGGTGGATGGCCTATTGCGGTAATATCTGATGGGGCTATCCCAATGTTACCTCAGTTAAAAATAAATTAAAAGCAGAAGTGTTGCTCCCTGGTAATGTAAGGAGTTAAAGCGCAGCACCATGAAGCTCGCTGCAGCCGCTTAACCGCGAGTTTGAACCCAGCCAAGGAGACCTTTCCTATCTCACCCTTTGCTCCCCTCAGCAGAGTACTTGTCCATTTGCCCGTTCTGCTTCCCGCTCTATCTCTGGTGAATCCTCTCAGCACTCCTGCACCTCTGGCCTGTCCCCCAGTTTTGTATGCATAAATAAATAAATCTTTAAAAAAATGTTAAAGGTGAAAAGCAAAAGAACAAAGAAGTATGGGATGATTGGATGCTGGAATACAGGGTGGCGTTGTGGTATCTGTACTGGCGTGGAGGTCACCGGTCGCATGCTAAGAGAATGTTGACTACTTCAGGTCACTCAAGATTGGAACTATTATGTTCTGGGTCCTTCTTGAATTAGTGACCGCTCAAACTGTTTAGAAGAGGTTGGAACCTAGGTTCCAAAACTATCAAGTTCAGACATTGTTTAAAATAAATCAGTCAGACATTTTGATGGCTTTGCTGGAAGCAAATCAAACAATTGACTGTCTTAACCATTTGGTTCCCACATCCCAGTTGTTAACCACTTGGTCTCCTAGTTTGAAAACAGATTCAATTTATACAACCAATCTCAGACTACTGAATTCTATTTTCTTAGTTAACCTTTTCAAAAGAGATAGTGGTTTTAATTCAAATTATACACGCTAAATCCTAGGCACTTGAGGCACAATTGAATGAATTTACAATCACTGATTAGGTCATCAAATATTTGAGCAGGTGCTCTTTTTTTTTTTTTGGTAAGATTTATTTATTTATGCATGTAGAACTGGGGTACAGGCCAGAGTGCAGGGGGCAGTGAGAGAATTCATCAGAGAAACAGTAGGGAGCAGAACAGGTGGAATGATGAAGTACACTGCTGAGGGGAGCAGCAGGCAGCTCAGGAAAGGTCTGCTGTGCCATGTGGGTCACCTCCAGGGCAGGGATCCAACTCATGATAAAATAGCTTTAGCTTCTTAGTACTGTTATTTAATCCACTTTGCCACTAGGGTGGACCTCCTTCATGCATTTTTAGAGGTGCTGTCTGAACCTCTTTGGAGTTCTTTTTTATTTCACTGACCTCTTGGTGTTAGATTAAACTGAAGCTCATTCCTTGAGACTCTTTACCATCTGTTTTACTGGGCTGGTGATCTCATTTAATAACAAGGCTTTATAAGCTAAGGTGATGAGACACAAATATATATATATTTGTAATTGGTGCTCTCCTTCTTGGTCCGTCAGCACTTGGTTATTTATCTCTGCATCACACTTAGCATGTCTGAAATTGAATTTGTGTTCAACTTTCAATAGCCTGTTCATCTCAGTTACAGAATCTTTTATCTTTTTAGTCAATAGGTAGGTCCAAAGGCCTTGAAATCAACCCTAATGTATTTTTTTTATATCTCTTGTTAAATCTGTCAGCAAATCCTACTGAGTCAATTTTCAAAATATTCTCAGGATCTGGCACTTTTCACAACTTCTACCATTTGACCTGAGTCATTTTCATCATGTGCTTGGTTTATTGCAGTTAACTCCCAGTAATTTTCCCTGCTTCCACTCTTACCCTATAGTTCATTCTAATAGGAAAGTTAAAATATTCTTAATGAAATATGCTGTATGTCACTTGTCAGCCTCAAATCTTCCAAAACAGCATCCATACATTGCACCCTGAAATTAAAGTTGTTGCAGTAATCTCTTAAGTCCCAAAACTTCTGGCAATTACCTCTTTAATCTTTACTTGATTATTTCTCTTTGTTGTTCATACTGCTTAGGTCAACTTATTTGTTGTTTCCAGAAAATCACAGATGCCTACACCA